AATGGTATTACTTTTCACTGGTTAGTTTAAATGCATTACAAAAAGACAAAAATACTGTTATATTAAATTGCTGTTAATTGTATTTATTTTTTGGTGAACGCGTTGATGTCTTTTTATACTATCCCTTTCTCGCATGGGCTACATCATATATGCTATCTCGCTCTCACACCGGCACGTGTATTGCTAGTGACTCAGACGCAGCTCATGCCTCAACGTGTAAGTTTATCGATAAGTTTGTCAGCTATGGAAATGGAAAAAATAAATAAAAACTATTTATTTCATCGTATACAATAATAGATGTCATAAGTATACAACCAACAGTTTTTATTTGACTTCAAACATATCCTAATAAAATTGAAAAAACGCATACGCAACGAAATTTGTATGCATATTTGTTACTCTTTCACGCTAAAACGGTTAAACGGGTTTGTATGAAATTAAGTGCGCATAGTTTATGACCTAGATAAAGACATAGAATTAACGATATTAAATACCCTAGATACACCACGAGCGCTCAAAATGTGTCCCAATCAAGAAGTGCTTGAACTCCACTCAAGCACTTCTTAGTACACAGTCACACGCGGATCGTTGAAAAGTCAAGATGCCAAAGAGTTCCGTGAAAAAATGCAGAAATATACTAATAGTACGTAAAGTGTCGTTTTTTCGACGGGTATCTAATTAATGTTTTTTAATTAACGCCTTTAAAGCAAATTTTATTGTTGTAATACTTACTATAAACTGATTTAATTTAAAATATTTGTGATATTCAAATGCATGGTCGGTTATACGTCGCCCTTAGCCATCTCTTTTCTTCGCGGTCTGTACTTGCTATATTGCTAACAGCGCATTCAGAATTGCGAGTGAAAAGTCAAAAAAAATAAGGTCTATATTCTTTCACATATATAACAATAAATCGTATAATTTTACGAACTTGACGTATGCATTTTAATTAAGACCTTATGCCGTATGCATTAAAGGTGACTTTCAATGTTTAAATAAGGCATTATATTGTTTTTGACCACGCGATCATCTTACGGACCTCCGTGGATCGTCCAATGTACCTTTTGGACACGTTTCGGCCACGATTTTGTTCGTTTTGTTGTATCTAGGGTAGTTAATATCGTTGCATTAATACTTCATGTCCTGGACGTGTTTTTTTTTGTGTTGCTTATATATAATTTAGTATGTAGTTACTAGTCGCGTCATGTAATTAGAACGTTGGAAGAAAGTGGAGAGGGTATGATTACGCATTTGCGCACCAAAGTGCTAGGCCTCTATTCTAAATTGTTTATCGTAAGAAAATATCGATATTTTCTAAAATCGATCTTACCCTCATCACTTCGCTGCACTGAGTATATGATCTGACCTTGACGCGTCCAATCACAACGGGGCTGACCTCCCTGCACCCCACCGACTTTAGCGATTTTGATTCCAAACAAAATTTGTGTGATGCGGACTCTAGTGGGGGTGCTCCATGGCTCTAGTGCTGTAATTGGAAAACTACTACTGTCAACACTATCAAGTCTTTGACAGGGAGCATTCTGTTGATAGCCGTTGTAGTGTACGTATGTGTCGTCGCTAATTATTATTATAAGAACTGCTAAATTTGAGTTGAATAAATAATTTGTTGGTTTATGAAGGAGTTTTCTTACAATTGGAAGAAATCACCGAAACTTAGGCAAGATTTTTTTATGTTAAAAGGGTGGCCAACTAGCATAGGGCACGCCACAGGGTAAATGGCCACCATAGGCTACGGACACTTGCGATACAACAAAATATCACTCGCGTCGCTGACTACCCTGACAAGGGTTACTATTTAAAATTTTGAAAAGTCCTGACAAAGAGCCGGACATTTCGGTAAAAGTTCGGACATTTTAGTCAGAAAATGCAAACATCACCCATTTAGTCACTTTTATACTTACTATCAATAATTGAAACCCCGAATCACTATATCTATCTCTAAAGAACATTATTCCTAATATTTGTAGCCCGAATGCACGCTATACCTAATTACTTTGAGGCGAGCTAAATTGTACTTGCAGGGCCCAAGTGGTGATACTTCACACTAGGTTAGGTTAGGTTAGTGTTGTGACCATAACGCGCGAGCTGACCGAGCGAAGCGAGCGTGCCGCGGCAGCGGCCGGCGAAGCGCCAGAAAAATAATACCAATTCTAAAGTTACGGGCTATAAATATTAGGAATAATGTTCTTTAGAGATAGATATAGTGATTCGGGGTTTCAATTATTGGTATTAAGTATAACAGTCCCATTTAGTTTCAGTGATATTATCTGGGGGATAAATTATATTTTGTTTTAATTAATGAGAACTTAATAAAGATTATTTGACTTATTTGATATTTATAAGTAGTTTTATTTATATTCCACCCAATTAAAAAAAGCCGGACAAAGTCCGCACACAAGGCAAAAAGTCCGGATATATCCAGACGGATGGTAACCCTAACGCTGACCCAATCCCCTCGTAGCTCTGAAACGTTACTCACTGACATAAACATAATCCCCCCTCAAAAAGGTAGTATTATTTTACTTTGGTTTTTGTAAGGTGGAAGTTACTTCCTCAGACGGGCGCTTTAATTCAAGCGGAAAAAGTATTTCTTAATATGTCGCTAATAATTTTATAAATAGGTTTTTCGCTACCTACCAACATTGCCTAAATAGTCCAGTCGGAATAGCCATAATTTGGACCGACTTCTATTCTAAGACACCAGCGCTTAGCCAATTTTTTCCTAGGTAGTATAGACCCCCACGAATATGCCCTCCATTTGTCCCCGCTAGAACCCGTGTTTTGTAGCCAGGAAAATTGTTTAAACAAAGAAAAACCGGTTTTTTTGAGTTTTGTTGCTTGTAAACGGGGATTTTGAAAATTTTTTTGAATCAAAGTTGTTCATTAGCTTGCCCTCTACAAAATCAGTTCTATGAAAAAATAACGTGAGATTGTTAGTTTAGCAGTAAATTGCAATTATGTCGGTTTTACGTTTGCAACAATTCAACATGTTATAATAAACATTTTGATTTCTAAAGTAGTTTATCATGTGGGTAACGCCACTCCCAAGAGAGTCATGTAAAATTTATCGACCTGTGTCGCAAACTTTAGCAACAATTCTCAATCTCCGAAAAAAAAGTACTTGCCTGTCCCGTCTTTCCCAGAAGGCGCACAGCGGGGAAAAAAATTCAGGTGATTCGATTCACCAAGAATTTTGAGGAATCGATCGAGTAGAAAAAAATCGTTAGTAAAAATGTTCGTTTTTGGACGATTTTTTGTTTTTTTAAAAATTGACGTAGAATATTTTTTTTTTAAACTAATGTATTTTTCTCTCCTCAACTCGAATATACTATTCTGAATATATATATATATATATATATAATATACCCCGAGAATTCCGATTATGAACCGGAAGAAAAAAGGACGAAATTAATTTAATTAGAAATATAGAATACAACGCAGTCTTGTAATCGAATTTTAGTTAATAGTTTTGTAAATAATTTCTGTACATAAATAAACTGAATTTTTTAAATTTTCAATCGTATATTCGAGTTGAGGAGAGAAAAATACATTAGTTTAAAAAAAAAAATCTACGTCAATTTTTAAAAAAAAATTAAATCGTCCAAAAACGAACATTTTTATTAACGATTTTTTTCTACTCGATCGATTCCTCAAAATTCTTGGTGAATCGAATCACCTGAATTTTTTTCCCCGCTGTGCGCCTTCTGGGAAAGACGGGACAGGCAAGTACTTTTTTTTCGGAGATTGAGAATTGTTGCTAAAGTTTGCGACACAGGTCGATAAATTTTACATGACTCTCTTGGGAGTGGCGTTACCCACATGATAAACTACTTTAGAAATCAAAATGTTTATTATAACATGTTGAATTGTTGCAAACGTAAAACCGACATAATTGCAATTTACTGCTAAACTAACAATCTCACGTTATTTTTTTCATAGAACTGATTTTGTAGAGGGCAAGCTAATGAACAACTTTGATTCAAAAAAAATTTCAAAATCCCCGTTTACAAGCAAAAAAACTCAAAAAAACCGGTTTTTCTTTGTTTAAACAATTTTCCTGGCTACAAAACACGGGTTCTAGCGGGGACAAATGGAGCGCATATTCGTGGGGGTCTATACTATCTAGGAAAAAATTGGCTAAGCGCTGGTGTCTTAGAATAGGTCTCATGTTTATTCCGATTGGACTAAAACTATTCAACTTTCGCACAGAGAGCTCTCCGCACCACTGTACCATAACAAGTGCTGTGTCATTCATAGTATTTAATGATCCATGTTCATAGTTATCCATTTATTACGGTGTGCACTGTGACGTCACACCATTCCGATTCCGACGGTCAACAACCGCTCGCGATTGACAGTACAACGACCACCACTTTCACTTTCGACAATCATTTTACTTTTCGCTAACTATTGGCATCTAGCGACGAGTAGGAGAGTTAAATTTGTCTATAAGCAGAATGTAATCAACGCCATCTAGTAACGAGCAGTCAATAAACTAACTCTTATAATTTCGTAGAGATGGCGTTGATAAAAAAGTAATGACCTACAATTATGTTTTTGTGTAAATGTTACAGCTATTTCAGTTTCAGTCTAGTAATTTAAATAGAATAAAACAACAGCGCAGATAACTTTGTAAATATTTTAATAACAGTCAGTATCGTAAAAAAATACATCAACTTCCACAGCCTTAATCAAGAATGCTGAGCACCAAAATAGAATCAATCTTAATAATACAATTATTGTACTATTTCTATAACAAAATTATCAAAACAGACAGATATACACCGATATTTCCTTCCACTAACTACTAATGTTTATGGACCTTTTAAATATTCTTTTCGAATAATAAGAGAGAAAAAGTTTAAAAACTAAATGGAATGGTATACACTAAACACTATACACCACATTTACATTAAAGTCACCACTGATTGTCAAATTTTAAAATTATAAAACAACTGTAGGCTTAATTGTTAGTGAGTTTACAAATAAGCAGCAGAAGCATGGTCCACTATCCAGTACAGAGAGCCTGTTACTGGGTTCACTCTACTTGCTGGTAAATCTTCTTTATTCTTTAGTATTCTCTGAAAAAAAAAGGACTAACATTAACTAAGTGAGTCACCAACCTACTAGGAGATACAGTTTGTTTAATTTGGCAATTCTTTCTTAAAATGTATAAAAATATAATGTGAGACAAGAAAAGTTGTTTTATCAAAACACACTACAGCCACCCACCAGTCCACACTGGGGTGGGCTATGGCCCATTCTCCTTATACCATCCACTGAGAAGGTCTGTGCCTCAGCAGTGGGGGCATTTATTGCCTAATGATAAACTACAATACAGCACAATTTAAGATATAAACTCCATATTTATTTATCATCTACTCACTTTCACCATTTCTGCTTTACTAGCACCGCTAATGGCAAATATACAATTCCTTGCATTGTTCACAACTGCAAATGTCAATGTGATTCTTTCAGGAGGTGGTTTCGGAGAGTCGGTGATTGCAGCCACTTTCAAATTAACTTCATCCAGTAACGGATGGTTCGGAAACAATGAACAGGTGTGCCCATCTGGTCCCATGCCTAACAGAAGTAAATCAAATCTAAAATCTTCACCATTGAATGCTTCTTTTAATTTTTCTGCATAATCTTTAGCTGCTTCTTCAGCTGAAAAACAACAAAATGGAATGAATTTATATCTTACTAGCTGACCCAGCGAACTTCGTACCGCCATAAAAATAGGGGCAGGTGGTAGAAGAGAAAATTTAGGGTTGCATGTATTTATTAAAACCTCAATTAAAAAAAAATATTGTCCAAAAAATAATTATAGGGATGTGTAACATAGTGTTCTATCAATTTCCTGGGATAACATTCTCTTAACCCATATGAGAACACTATGTTACAATACCCTATAGTTTGAATTTTGGCAGGAAGGCGCATTGTAGTTTTCAGAACACTATGTTACAGGTGGACAACCATTATCACTTAAGGATATAAAAAAATAGATAGTAGCCAATTCTCAGACCCACGGAATATGCATACAAAATTTCATAAAAATCAGTCAGGCCGTTTCGGAGGAGTATTGTAACTAACATTGTGACATGAGAATTTTATTTTATAAGTTTATAAACATTTGTGTTTAAATAATATATTCTGCTTTGAAAAAACTAAATGCCTAACATTTCTGTATTCATAATGCTACAATATTTAAAAGTTGCTTAGTTATTGTAACTTTTAGAAGCATAATATGATAAAATATTAACATGCAACATTAAAATCACCTGATACTCCTTGCTTGATAGTAATAAACTGTTCATCTTTCAAACCGGTCCTTGGAATTAATTGCCGCTTGTATGTACCAAACGTAGAATCATCACTATCTTCAGCCACCACTCGCTCATCGCAGAAAGCGAGCACCCATTTCGACCATTCTGTATCTAGCTTAGGTAAACCTTCACACAAATATTTGACAACCGAACCTCCTGAAAAATTATAAACATGGTATAACAATAAGTAAATCACCATGACAGAGTTAATTAATAATAAAAAAAAATGGTTGCCTGTAAAGTCGGTTTTACGGGCGAAGATTTTACGTGACAACGTCTTTTTCTCGGTAGAATATTTATTGATATGAATATAATTAAATTGCACAATAGGAACAAGGAATTGAATGAAAATAAGAATTGCACAAATTTTAACTATAGAAATATATTTTGTTTACTAAAACATTGTACATGTAAACTTAAACTTAACACGAGAGACTCATCGTAACGTTACCGAGCGTTACACTTTTTCATAAGTGACTCCCAGCCTAATGACCTAATTTAAGACGTTGTCACGTCAAAATGAGTTTACCTTAGTTAACATAACATAACGTAACAATATTTACATATATTTTATTCATTCTCTGTTTTTTAGGATTTGTTTTATGATTTATGTTTAAGCATGTAACTGCTAGATGTTTAAATGTAAAGAATTTTTTTCTTGTAAAATTTTCTCTACTTTATCTTTACCTGTTTACATTACATTTACGACATTTACATACTAAATTATAAAATTAAATTATTATTTCATACCTGAGAGGCCTATAAAAAACTTTCCGCGACTGTGTATTGAATCACTTGAAATTTTCTGAATGTAAGAAGATAATTTATTGATGATCTCTTGTTCATCGTTTACCTTTATAGTAGTCATATTTACAAAATTATAGTATTTGAAAAAATATACACAACACCTACCGAGACTACTTTTTGAGGTTACTTAGTATGACATTCATTTGTCATTCATTGACAATATATTTATTCCGATACGCGCAGTAAAAGTAAGACAGTAATTAAATCTTGATAGCAAAAAAAATATTCTCCTTATCCTCACAGTGATCTTAGATTTTTTTCTTTCCAGTAATGAATAGATAATATTAATAATAGATTTTCATATATATATAATATAGGTGTTATGTATATGGGTTAGGATTTTGTTATCGTAGTCTATGATTGATTTGCCTTTTTGAAAATCAAAGTTGATTTGACATAAATTGAATTGTTCCGGCTTTGTAGAACTTATAGTTTAATTTCGCACTTCTTCAACAAGTCAGGATGGCCGAGCGGTCTAAGGCGCTGCGTTCAGGTCGCAGTCCACTTCTGTGGGCGTGGGTTCGAATCCCACTTCTGACAGACTTTTTTTATAAATCCTAGAACGAAGCTTTATTAAAAGCAATATTTTTTAAAAGCTTTCATTTAACATGCAATATATGTATGTTGCAATTCAATTTTGAAACAGATGTTTGAGCTGTAATTCTATACAAACGTTTATTTTCATCGAATTGATATAAACAATGTTTCTATAATATACTTAAATGCATAAAAAAAACAAGTTAGCAGAAAAATGAAAAATATTTGTGACAGATTTACAAATTAGTAGATAAGTAAAAAGGAGCTCTCGCTGCCGTGGACACCTGCGGAAGCAGATTAATTACAGCGGTAACCGCTCGTATGCAACGTTCTCGAGGTAGTCCGAACTGCACCGAGAAACGCTGGTTCGGATCACACGACACGAACCGCTTACCCTGCAGCCAGAGCTCCCACTTATCGACCGACGAATAATGCGACTGCATTCTAATCAAATGTCTAACTACGTCATACTGTCGTAGATAAATCGATAAGCGTTAGCAAATCGCCTGGTTATTTTTTTACAGCAATGTTACTTATTTTAAGAATGGTTGTCGCGTCACAACAGCTTTGACGTCCCGATTTTGGCAGAACGTCCCGATTTTTAAATAAAAATTAAATGTCCCGCGCGGGACAAACTCAATCCCGCTTTTCGGGAATAACTCGACCGTGCGTGCAGCGTACTGAGAAAGCGCGGGCGGGTGGCACAGACAAGTGAAGACTGGCCACCTGCCCTTCGCGTAATGAACAACTCTCAAACAACTATTTATCGATAGGGTAAATCTGATATAAAATGTTTTTGAAGTTATACTTCTTTAGGCGCGTTATGAAAAAATGATGAGAGTGAAATTTTAAGATGCGCGCGCATCACTGTAACACAAAAAATTAACAGCATGAAGTTGGTCGCTTTAGCAACCAACTTCATGCTGTTACTTTTGCGTTTACCGCACATTAAGAAAATCTACCAACAAAATAGAAATAGAATCTCTATTTTGTTTGTGCTAACGACTGCATTGTGAAGGCCTATCAAAAGTATTTATTAATCTGGAACAACGGAACCAAAGCGCGATTCAGGAGACTACAGCGCCATCTCTTGACCATTGGTGTAGTAGAACCAAAAACCACAACTTTATTTTTTGTAATAAAGTAACAGTTATAGGTATTCATACTTATAATATTTATCCACATGTTTCTAGTTTGTATATTCGGAATACGTGTTTGAGTTTCATACAAGTGCAAATCACATATGTTCTAATAAATTACATTCAGTAGCGATTTTAATTGAATATTTTGATTATTTATTTATTTTTTCAAATTAAAACTGAACTTTATTGACTGTGTCCTTTTCCAGACTTCTTATTAATTTATTGTAATTAATTATTTGCATGCAATTAAAAACTAATTTTAAACGATGCCAAAGAAGGATAACTTCTCACGCGCCTACATAAGTACACGCACCCATTTTTTTTTATTAAAATACATTTTCCATGGATATTTTTACTATGTGCACAAGTGGGAGAAGCATCAGGAACGCATTACTGCAAAGTTGTAACGTGTGTTCTGCGAATCTTCTATAATCATTTATTCAGTTTAGGCTGTTACAAGCACTCATGAATGCCTAGAACCTCCGCCATCGGTTCGTAAATCTACGACGGAAAATCTTTTACTGAGAAGAACCGGCAAGAAACTCAGCAAGGGCTGTTTTTTTCTGCCTGTTCTATTATTTACAGAGTCGTCGAGTTGAAAAATAACTTTAGAGATTATTCATGAAGTCACCATTCATTACATTATGATACGGGTGACTAAATCGACATCACGCTATGCTGCGCAGTGCTAAGATCTATTTACCTACTTGATTCGGTCCCCTTAGGCGCTGTGTCCACCTAAGCAACGCGAGAGAAACGTTATTTTCTACCAACAGGTAGCATGACTGGCATGACATTTAATTATCCCACCCGAGTGACATGCCAGAGAGCAAGGGCGGATCCAGAGGGGGGGGGGGTCATGGGGGACATGACCCCCCCCTGGGCTGGGTCCATCTGTACCCACTTCACAATCTGTACTTCATAATCTGTTCCCACTGTGACTTGACCACGACTATATGACCCCCCCCCCTGGCGCCAAAGCTGGATCCGCCCTTGCCAGAGAGATGTCAGAGTCAAGGAACTTATATATTAACTGGAATGCTTACGAAACAATACGGGAATTCAAAAAATGTACTCTGACGGGTTATATATAAAGTCCATTTTTGTTTCTACCTTCATAAGGGAGAAAAATACTCCTAGCGCGACAACGACGAAAGTGGAATCTGTCTCTCTCTTGCAACTGTTTGGGCACACTACTAGAACGAGACAGATTCCACCAATTCAGCTATGCTCTTGGAACGATTTTGAGGGTCGCGAAAGCATTCCAGTTAGTATATAAGTTCCTTGGTCAGAGTACAAAAGCACCATAGACAATGTCGTTCTCTAATGAAGATCAAGATGCTCTCGCTTATCTACAAATTCTAAATATTCACAACGGACAAAGACGCTTCTGGGTGCATTACAGGTGTTTTTAATGAAGTTACTTATTCATTATACATTGGCCATTATTATGATGGCATCAGATATGTGCGTATGGACTGAGTGATCATTTCAAAGAACTCATCCAACCACAACAAAATTATAAGAGAATTTAGGAAATAACTGTGAAAACTTCACGATAAGATATAAAATTTGTGAAACCTAAACAAAGAAAGTTAGGACTAATTAACTGGATCACTCAATCTGGACACCTGAAGAATAAGCCATAACGCGTATCCAAGAATATACTAGAGTCTGTGCGGAAAGAGAATGGGCATAGCGAAAAACGGAACTAATATTAACATTTTAATTTGGCAATCAAACCCAGCAATCTGTAAAACGTCAAAGTTTTGTATTGATACGGATTTGTTTGTTGTTGTGATTTCTTGCGGTTTTTTGTATTTAATCATGTCTAAAAAGGGTAAAACCTTACACATACGGTAAAAGAGCACTACAGCGCCCTCCAATCTAAACCCCATTCTCTTTCCGCACAGACTCTACCTATGTGTTTATCACTTATCAGATCACGTGTCACGATACTCAAGTGGGCACAGCGCCTTAGATTACAACGAGAACTTAACCTGGAGGCCTACTCTAATTCAACGAAAAACTAAAATTCGATCGAAACTTCGCACTTTTCTTATGGTAGCCATACACACTACGAGAAATCTTTACGATCAGACTGTACAGTTTGAACGGAACAGTTTATCGTACGTGGCGTACGTATAGGAAACTGTGCAGTTTTATAACATCATCATCAGCCTATTAATGTCCCCACTGCTGGGGCACAGGCCTTCCCTATGGATGGAATAGGGAGATTTTATAACATACACGCTACGATTTATCGGTACCGTTCGGACGGTACAGTCTAATCGTAACGATTTCTCGTAGTGTGTATGGCTACCATTACTATGTTTCTGGTTAGTTTTTAAGTATAATAATATTCGTCGTCGGAATATAGATTGAGGTGTAGATTGTCTAAGCCTACTCAAAGAAAGTTTCAATTTGATAGTTTATCGTTCAAATCACACTAATATTATAAAGGCGAAAGTTTGTGAGTGTGTGAGTATGTGAGTGTGTATGTTTGTTACTTCTTCACGTCTAAACGGCTGGAGCGATTTTAATAAAATTTGGTATGGAGTTAGCTGACACCCTAGATTCACACATAGGCTACTTTTATCCTGAAAAATGTTAGGTTCCAGAGGGATTTTCAAGAAGTTAACGCAGACGAAGTCGCGGGCGACCTCTAGTTAAGTATAACCTTAAATTGACGAATTTAAATTTCGTTTGAACTTTCTTATCGAAAGTTCGTTTCGGAGAAAGAGAGTAGACCCCCTGTTGCGTTGTCTCGTTATAGGACTATGAAGACGTTCGTGCAGGTCTTGCCAGTTCAGTATAATTTTTCGATTTAATACAAAACATGTCCTCCATAAACGTCTATTCTGTCAAAATAAGAAACTGATGCGACCCCGAACGCGTTCAGTGGGTGCACTTAACGATATTAAATACTTAGATTAAAACAAAAAGGGTAGATACGGTACGCTCATACTTGCATCAAACAAAAACTGATCCCACGGCAGCGCGAACGAGACGGCGAGATCCGCGTCACTGCATTACCGACCCGAACGAAACAGCACGTTAAGTTACAACGGCAGCGCGAACGAGACGGCGAGATCCGCGACACTGCATTACCGACCCGAGCGAAACAGCACGTTAAGTTTCAACGGCAGCGCGAACGAGACGGCGAGATCCGCGTCACTGCACTACCGACCAATCACGCGACCAGTACTCGACGTCACTACCGAATAGGATTCAAAACAAACAGCATTTTTTATGAATAAATATATTTTATAGTACTTACGAATGAAAAGTGATGCTGTGGGTGTTATTTTTAGTTCTTGAGCAATTTGAGCACTTTTTAAAAACACACTTAGGCATTGTTTTATCATATAAACAGTAATAT